ATTTACACATGCCCAAACTTGTCAGACTGGATACTTCATACGTGCAGTTTACTGTGATGCCTTGATAAAGCTGTTTTGTGGTAGGGGGCCTCCAGGACCAAGGAAGATAATGGCCATGCTTAGAACTTAAAAATCCACGCTTATAGCCCTGTTCCCATAGCAACTTAGCAATACTTAGTGACCTTGTAGCCCTGATAGCAACTCTGTAACTTCATGTACACCTGTGTATCTAACAGCCTGTGACCCAGTACACGCCTGCATAATTCCGTAATAGTCTGTTACCCAGTCAAAAGTATATAAAAGGATAACATAACCATACATGGGAGACGAATAAGCTAAAACAAAAGGGGAAGCCCCAAAGAATTCGGGGCTCAGCCTTTGGATGTGAATCTGCTGAGCCAGTACTAGCACCCAAATAAACCATTGTTTTCCTGTTAAAGCCTCGGTGTCCTGTCTCTCTCTCGCTGAATGTCCCACAACAGCTTGAGTGATTGTTTTTTTTAGCTTGGAGATGGACTCTTCAGTAGGGACTTCTCCAACCTTGAGGGAGGCATCCTCTTGGTACAGTCTTAAGGTCTAAGATGGGGAAAAAAAAATTATACATGTCATTCTACTGGGTCTTTCCATTACACTGAAGGGTCTCTCAGATCAGCTTTGAGTGAAACCAGCTGAGGATGGGTGGCTGCCCTAACAGCAGGGAATCTCAGTTGTACATTGGAATCGCCAGAGGAAATGCCTGGGTCCCATCCCAGATCACATCATTAGTCTAGGGGATTGTTTAAGCTTCTGGTGGTCCTAATGTGCGGTGGAGTTTGAGAACCTCTACTTTAGACAATGGCTTGGCTCCTCATGGTCAAGCGTGAGGTCACGTCATTTTCCATTTCTTCTTCTGAGGGTGAAGAAGTCAAGAGCCCGTAATGCTGAAGAAATCTCAATGGCCATCCAGCTTATTTATGGAGAAATCTGGGGCAATTATGTCGCTGAACTGCGGCCCTCTCATCCCGTCCTAGATGCCAGCCAAATCACACGACCAGTAGGTGGCGCTGTCTCCTATGGCTTGAAGAAAACCCAACTTCTGGTGGCGCCACTCTTTAAAAGGTTTGTTTAAAATGGTTATTTTATAAGAATTATTTTTAATTTAACTTTATTTATTCATCCATTTTAATTAGACCAGAGAGGGACAGAGAGAGAGAGAGAGAAAGTGAGAAAGCAAGCTGCCAGGTCAGGGACTCGAACCATGGTTAGCACCCTTAACTACCAAGCCACCTGCCGGCCCCAAGATTGTTCATTTTTAATGCATCAATTCTAGGTAATTTTTCCCTTGACTTTTTCTTGGTCCCCTCATTTTTTGCTCTTGTGCTAGGGAGACATTAATGCTCCTCAATTCATTTTTGTGAAAATACCTGCATCGTTTCCTCTGGATCACTAGAGAGCATGCATTGTCCCCTTGAATGGTCTTACAATACTCAACCACGTATTAAAGAAATGCTAACGTACACAAATAGTGCACAAAATTTGGTACAATTGTCTAGGTCATCAACATTTTATTTAATGGTGATGTCACAAAAGAAAAAAGAAAAATCCATTTCCATTGAAAAATTCTTCAGTTAAGGTAAAAAAACAAAATGCTGCTAGAGGCGGTTTCTGGTTTCCATCAGTTTTACGAGGTGAGCAAGATCTGGCTGGGCTTTCCCAAAGTGTTCCAGGAGAATTTTGGTTTTCCATTCATTGACAACCCACCATGCTTTACAAAGCAAGGCTGGAGAATGAGGTTGAGGAGAGTCCTGGAACACATATGGGGTTTTCTCAACCTCTGGACTATGAAATGTGGCTCTTTTATTCAAAGAGACACTTGAGACAAACTCTCAAAGGCCTCCTAATTCCTGTAGGCCTTGTAACATATTTTCTGAGCCCACGGTCATCTGACAGTTGGGCCAATAAAGGAATTCTCTTTTGAGATGGGAGAGCCAGTTTGAAAACAACAATAATAACAGTTTATATATTATGGAGCACCCACTATATAGCAAGCACAATTCTTAGTGCCTCACCTATATTAACCCTTTTAATTCTCATGATTATTTTAAGGTAGGGACAAACTGATTATCTCATCTCCAAAATGTTTTAGACTGAAAGTATTTTGGATTTCAGACTTTTTTGAATTTTAATGTACTCGCATATACATAATATCTTAAGGGTAGAACCCAAGTCTAAACACAAAACACATCTGTTTCATGTACCTGATACACATAGGCTGAAGATAATTCTATACAGTATTTCAGTATTGCAGCGTTTTTTTCAAAGTTTATTTTTTATTTCAAGGAGAAAGACTTGTACCCTTGACAGGGTCTTACGATGCACTCCATCCCCATCTCTGAGCCACCCAGGGTCACAGGAACCCGCAGGTGTGCCTGGCATGTTCGCCCAGGATCCAGACCCAGACCTCATGTGTCTCCAGTATCTTGCAGCAACACACTATCCTCTGCAGCACTGCAACTGGGCTTGTCCTGCAGCAATCTGACTGTGACCTGACCTGAGGTCAGGTGTGGAATTCTCCACTAGTGGTGTCATGTTTGTGTTCACAAAGTTTTGAATTTTGGAGCATGTGAGATTTTAGAATTTGAGATTAGGAATGCTCAACTATTTTTACTTGTTCAATAACTGGGGAAACAGGCAAGTAACTTGTCCAATATCATCACATAGCTAAAAAGTAGCCTAGCCAGGATTTGAACCTAGGCAGTCTAACTCCAGAGACTTCCTGTTTGTCATTTAGTGCCAAAATGTTAACATGTGTCAGATATCTCTGTGATCATAGAGACAACGAAACATATGATCACAAAGATAATGAGGTATGTTTGAAACGGAGTGTCCTGTGTTCACCAAGCCTTGGTATTAGATGCAAATAAAGCAATGGATGAAACGCGGGATTTTATCTTCCTGGAGGTTAGTGGGCCTTTATTACCAATCGTGAAAAACTTTCCCTATGTTGCTGCTTAAATAGTGTATTCTCTCCATTGAAGTAATTCATCTAAAACCACCTGCAACACGCCTACTGCATATTATTTATTACTTCAGGTATGGTTTCCCTCTTTGTTTGAGGAGCCCTCTAGCTTCTATTGCTCTGTCTATTGCAAAGGACCCTTCTGTTGTGTCCTCAAGGTCACTACTCTTCTGCATCACTTCAGAAGCAAGAGCATGGGGGATCTTGCAAGAGAAGTGTTTATTGTCTTGTCACCTCATTCCCCTCAACATGACATTGGATTAGAATTCAGTCACAAAACTCAGTTACTTAACTACACCCCACACACCAAGGAAGGCAGGGAATATAGCAGAACTACTTGTTCATGAAGATGAGGAAGTGAGTGTTTTGTGAGCAGCTGTCTGGACTCTGTTCCTCTCCCTTTCTTCTCCTAATACAATTTTCTCATCCTTTGAGACACACCATCACTGTTGGATCACTTATCGTACAATAATATCTGGCACGTGGTATGCACTCCATACCTATTTGTTGAACAAACAAGTCATTCCACAAATACTTTTTTAGGTGCCCACTCTCAGGGAGCTGAAAATTAACTTAGAGAAAATTGTGTTACAAGCAAATAACTTCAGTCTTCACGCTTATAATGGAAGCAAGGGCCAAGTACTTTCAGAACATGGGGGAACACATTGTCAACAATAGTTCTGGAAGGCTGCTTCTTTTTTTTTTTAGTTGCCAGAAGGCATGTGTGTCCACCAGAGAGAGTCAGAGAGAAAAAGAGAGGGGGAGAGAATGAGAGAAAGCACCACTAGTGGGGTGTGGTCATGCTGCAATCCCTTCTGCTCCTTTTCTCTCAACTTGTCAAGATTTGGGGCATGCATACACACACATACATGTTTTTCAAGTCTCTGGGGCTGAGATTTAAACTTTGGTCAGCCATATGGGATCTGGCTCTTAACCACTAGGCTACCATGCCAGCCCTGGAAGGCTTCAAAAGGAGGCAAAATCAAAACGGAGGCTTGTACTGCAGCAGTAGAGTACCTTTCAATTGGGTATTGAAAGATTAGAAAGATGGGACCAGCAGTTAGTGTAATGGCTATGTCGCTGAACTCCCATGTAGTCGACCGCAGTTCCAGTCCTGAACCCGGTGGTTTAAACTCACGCGTGTGTGCGTGTGTGCGTGCCCAAGATCCTGAGAGGAGAATAGAGGAGAAGGGATTACGGCATGGCCATCCCCTCTGGGGGGGTGATTTCTCGCTTTCTCACTGTCTCTCTGTCTTTCTCTGTCTCTCTGGCGAGTGCATGTGCCCTGTAGCAAAAACCTCTCAAAAAAAAAAAAAAAAAGAGAAAGAGTTTTCACCAGTCAGAAACAATCAGGGATTAGACCCTCTGTGGAGGAGAAACACCTGCAAAGGTGAGAATGTGGCTGTGAGGGTGGGAGTAGGGCCGGGCTGCAAAGATGGTTCAGGGCTAGCTGTGAAGGGCCCTCTGAATGACACAATCATCTGAGTCCTGGTCTCCCGATCTTTCAAGTAGACGAGGTATGTGCTCTGCCTGCTTTTTCTAACTAGAAAGCTGAACAACTATAATTAGTATGGCATGTACTCAAGCCTTGCCTTCTGTGCAGGGTAATTCTCAGATGCTCCGTTCAGCCCCTCTGGAAGGAGAGAGCACAGCCGGAGCGAGTTAGGACCTGTGAGCACCCTGCCTCGGGCCTGCTGGGGCTGAGTCCTTCAGCTGCACCTGGGAAATAGTGGTTTGGATGGCTTAGTTCCAAAGTCAGAAATTCCTCCGTTTCGTGCTTTGCTGCCTATTGATCTGAGGCTGAAGGGCACTGTGCTGTGGTCAATGATTACATTGTGGTTCAGGAATGAACACTGTAAGGACAGCTATGCATCATAGAACCCCACGGAGCTAAAGACCTGCTATGACCCCGTAGGGGCTAGCATATTACAAGTCTTAGAAGACTAGTGATCAAAGCTGTGGCCCTAAGAAATTATTCGGGTCCCACTACCCATTTAGGAAATACGGGCAGGTTCAAGTCATGTTCGTATGTATTCAATGCCTGCTCTGTACCGGTGTTTTCAGATGTACCTACTGCACACACGTAATTTCTGAAATAATCGCAAATAATACCAGCTATCAATTCCGGCATAGCCATGGCAGCTAACACTACTACCAACCCGTTGCAGCTGCTGCCGTCAGAGCTGGTGGACAAAGGTATAGGATCAAGAATTCACATTGTGGGGGAACCAGCAGTTAGCGTAATGGCTATGTTGCTGGACTCCCACATAGTTGACCATGGTTCGTAGTCCTGGACCCGGTGGCTTAAACTCACGCCAGGTGCGTGTGCATGCGTGTCCAAGATCCCGAGAGGAGAATGGAGGAGAAGGGATTGTGACATGGCCATCCCCCCGGGGGGTGATTTCTTGCTTTCTGTCTCTGTCTCTGTCTGTCTGACGAGCGCACACGTTCTACAGCAAAAAAAAAATATCCCAAAAAAAAAAAAAGAAATTCACATTGTGATGAAAAGTGATAAGGAAATTGTTGGTACACTTCTAGGATTTGATGGTTTTGTCAGTATGGTACTGGAAGATGTTACAGAATTTGAAATCACACCAGAAGGAAGAAGGATTACTAACTTAGATCAGATTTTGCTAAATGGAAATAATATAACCATGCCGGTTCCTGGAGGAGAAGGACCTGAAGTATGAATGGATATCCTAGACTTATGCTAGATTCTGTTTTGTCTTACAGTGGCAACAAAATATACATTTTTTTTTAACCTTTTAATGTTAGGTCCTGTAAAGCTGTTTCCCATTAAACGGAAATGCTTTGAAGATATATGCCCCTTTTTGCATGTTAATCTTGATTATTTTGTAAAAAGAAGAAAAGTTTGTTTTTTGAAGGATAAAATAAAGATGTTATTTGTTTATAAAGAAAAACAAATAATACCAGCTATCAGATGACATATAGTATATCATACGTTAGAAAGCATTAGGGTAGTATATTTCTTTTAAATACACTTTGATTGTTTTGAGATTATGACTCTCATTTAGAATGAGGCAGTTGTAAAATAGTACAAAAAGCAGCGGGCCTTGGAGTGAGATCTTGGCTATGCCCCGGTTCACTGCTGGATTATTGTTCTCCCTCAAAAAATGTATTTTTTCCCTGTATTAAGTTGCAGCTATGTATCAGTAAGATGTTTTTGCCCTAGATTATTAATTGAATTGGACAACATGACAACTCACCGTGAGGGTGAGCAGGTAAATCTGAGAATTGTGAGGGCCAGCCTGTAGAATGGCAGTGAGGGTGCTGGCTCCCACATGGCTGACTGCGAAGTTCGAGTCCCAAACCCAGTGGCTTGCAAATCACACCAGGCATGTGTGTGTGCATACTCAAAATGCGAGGAGGTGAGAAATGGAGGAAGAGGGATTGTGGCATGACCGTTCCTCAAGGAGGGTGCTTTCTCTCTTTCTCTCTCTCTCTGGTAAGCACATGTGCCCACTGGCAACATTAAAAAAAAGGAAGAGATTTGAGTGACCATGATAACTTTTAAAAAGGAAACATGTATTAGGTTGTCCAGAAAGTCATGATGCATTTTTTATGTTTATCTATGCAAAAACATTTCATGACTTTATAGACAACCCAATATTAATTAAGTTAATCAAAAAGATAGACATTATAAATACATTTTCACCTAACAATGAAGTCCTAAAATACGTAAAGCAAAATATTGACAGAATTCAACAGAGAAACTGTGCTAACATATTATTTGGAGATTTTATTAATTCCATATCAATAAGTAATTAAAAAACACATAAGAATCAATGAAGCAATAGAGGATTTGAACAACACTGTAACATACTAGGCTTAAAATACATTAAAAATAAATAAATAAAATCTGTGGGGCCAGCAGGTGGCATGGTGGTTAAAGTGCTGGACTCCCACAGGCTGATCATGGTTCAAGTCTCAGACCTGGCGGCTTGGAAATCATGCTGGGTGCGTGTGTGTGCACATGCCCAAAAAGAGAACAGAGGAGAAGAAATTGTGGTGTGACCGTAGCCCTTGGGGAATGATTTCTCACTTTCTCTTCCACTGTTTCCTCTCTGTTTCTCTCAAGCAAGTGCACATCCCCTATGAAAAAACCTAAAAAAAAAAAAAAGAATGAAATTCTGACACGTTACAACATACATGAACCATAAAAGCATCACACTAAACAGGCCAGACACGAAGAACAAATATTGTACGCTTCCACTTATGTTGCATAGGCAAATTCATAGAGTCAGAAAGTAGAGTAGAAGGGGGAGGAGAAAATGGGGGCGTTTTCAATGAATGCATTTTCTGTTTAGGATAACGGAAAAGTTCTGAAAATTGATGGTGGTGAAGGTCGCACAACATGATAAGTATACTCAATGCCATTGAATGGGGACATTTAAAAATAGTTAATATAATAGATTTTCTGTTATATGTGTCTTATCATTAAAAAAAAAAAAAAAACACGTAAAAATCAGATTAGTTAGGGACCAGCAGATGGCAAGGAGGTTAAGGTGGCTGGATCCCTCATGGTCAACAGCACGGTTCAAGTCCTGGACTGTGTGTGTGTGTGTGTGTGTGTATAATTTTTAAAAATTGCCAGAAGGTGCATGAGCTGACTGGAGGCAGACAGAGAGAAGGAAAGCGAGAAAGCACCACCATGAGGATGGTCACACTGTAATCTCTTCTCCATCTCTCCCTCCTTTCAGGATTTTGGGTACACACACCTAGTATGAATTTTCAAGGCCCTGGGTCTGGAACTCGAACCATGCAGTCAGCCACATAGGATCCAGTCACTTTAATCACCATGCCATTGCATGGCCCTGTAATTCTATATTTTATTCCTGAGGAACTACTCATAATTTCAAACTAACAATTGAAACATAAAATTTCTCTGGGTTGGGCCAGCCGGGCGGTATGGTGGTTAATGTGGCTAGATCCCGCAGGGCCAACTGCATGTTTTGAGTACTAGACCTTGTGGCTTGGAGGCCAACAGATGGTATAGAAGTTAAGGTGCTGGACTACCACATGGTCGACTCTAGTTCAAGTCCTAGATCCAGCAGCTTGAAACTCACACCAGGTACGTGTATGTGCCCAGAATCCTGAGAGGAGAATGGAGGAGAAGGGATTGTGGTATGGCCTTCTTTCCTAGGGGGGCTGATTTCTTGCTTTCTCGCTGTCTCTAGAAAGCACACATACCCTATAGCAAAAATCTTCAAAAAAAAAAAAGAAAAGAAAAGAAAAGAAAAACATGTTGACTGCATGTGTGTGTAGGCCCAAAGTCCCACGAGAAAAAGGAACTCCCCCCTGGTAAGTGCTTTCTCATTCTTTCTCCTCTCTCTCTTTCTGTCTCTCTAGTGAGCACACATGCCCTATAGCAAATAAAGAAGCCATTTTCTCTGGGTTAGCTATGTTCAACCCCTCACAGTCAAAACGACCCACCCAGCAGCCTCCTTCCGGCCCAGTCAGTAAGTGATGATTGGACACGTTCCTGAGGTGGTCACAGAGGAAAATGTTGCAGTGGCTGTGGGAAATAGTCTCGTCCCCCTGCCTGAGGGAGCCACCAGTGCAGGCTGAAGGACACCACCACCCTCCAGCTAGATAAAAGGAATGACAGAAAAGCACAAAACAGAAAACAAAAGCTCAGAGGAATTAGAAAGGCTTCTCTAAGCCAGTGTTAACATAATAGTGCCTGGAATCAGGGGGATTCAGTGGCTTAAGCAGGCCTGGGCTTGCTGGGGAGCACAGCGAACGGCAAGGTGGGGGCAAGATGGGGCGGAAGGGGACTGGTGAGAATGGAAGCAAGGACAGGTATGCACGCAGCACTGTCAGGTGCAGTCCAGGTGAATCAAGTCCGTCCTAAGTCTAAGGAAAAAGTGTGGGTATTTCAATAGTTAGTGAAGCATCCAAGTTGGGGCAGGGAAGAAGATATACAGATCTGACACTTCAGGGTTTAAATTTAGGAGATGTTTGATAAATGGAAACTATTATCATACTTACCAATGCACTCCGCCCCCCCCCCCTTTTTTTTGGAGAGTTTTGCTATAGGGCATATGTGCTCACCTGGCATGAGTTTCAAGTAACCGGGTCTGGGACTGGAACTGTGGTTGGCCATGTGAAAGTCCAGCGATGTAACCACTGCACTAGCTGGTGGTGCCCAACCAATGCAATCTTTACCCAGTTTCTGAGGCTCATCTCTCTTTCCATCTAACCCTTCATATACGTCCCGATGAGACAGATCATTTTAAATAATCACTTGGCACGTGACAGCTTCCAGTTCAGTCTTTCACTAGCCTACAAGGTTTTTGTTTTGGTTTTGGTTTTTTAAGGTTTTTGCCATAAGGCAACGGGGGATGGCCACAATCCCTTTTTTATTCTCCTCTTGGGGTTTTGGGCAGGTATGAACCCACCCTGCCCAGAATTATTTTCAAGATGTCTATCTGAGACTTAATCCCTGTCAGTCATGTGAGAGTGCAGCACTCTCACCCTCACACCACCTGCAGGCCCCAGTTTACCAGTATTTATCATCTCTGTCTCAGATTGGGGTCGCAGTTCCAAGGAGCCCAAGATAAACCTGGGCAGCTTCTGCAGCACCAATTTTACTGAAAAAAATGTTTGGAAACAAACAAGTTTATACATTAGAAAAGTAAGTGAGGATATTTACAATAAATGATATTGGCGTGCAATTTAAGGACGAAGTGCTGGCCTTCGGTGACATTTTGAGTTTGCTGTAACTGTTTCCTCTTCGGCCGGGCACACCACACCACACCACACCACAGGAGTAAATCCACTCCTCAGGCACTGAAGCGTCTTCCCTGGAGTCCGTGGGAGGGCAGTGGGCACAGATAAGGCCTAATCCAGCCTCCTCAAGCTGGCCCGGTAGGACGGCGCCTCAGCAGGCCCGCCAAGCCATCCTGGCAACTGGTTCCTTACTGGCAAAGGTGAGACCACTCCGCTTTCTCCTTACCGCTTCTGCTAAGCCGTGCTGAACTTGCGGACAAGGCACTCCAGCTGCCACTTCCAGCCAGCTAATCCCCCTGTGCCTCAGTCTCCTCGCCTGTGTGACAGTAAGGTAGTGGGAGGGTTACGTGAGTTAGTAGGAGCAAAGCTCTCGGAACAGAGCCCGTTATCAGTGTTCTCTGTGGTTTCCTTCCTTCGACGTGAACGCCAGCTCTCCTCCTCCTGCCTAGAAACCGCTCCGGTCTCGGTTGGTTCCTGCAGCCAAGCTCAGTCCACTGGACCGACGTCTTGCACAGCGGTCTGCGGAAGCCGCCACCCACCCCGGGCTCAGCTTAGACGTAAATGATGCGGTGAGCGCCGAAGCGTATCAGCGGGGAAAACGAAGCGCCGCAAGTAGCCATTGTCGGAAGCCGTACCTCGGTGAGAAGTGGGCAGTACCTGTGCCTCCGCCCCGCGCGTCCTCCCCTCCCTATCCCGAGCATCGCTTTGCGGCTTCGTGCGCTGGAGCGGCCCGGCAGGCGGTGCGGTCTGGGAAGACGGGTGACCTCGCAGGAGACCGGTACCTGCTCTCCCTCCCGAAGTCTAGCAACCACCCCTGCCCGAGCGATCTCGGCTGGCCTAACGGGACGGGTCCCGCCCCTGGGGTAAGGTGGGTCAGAGCGAGAGAGGGAGCCTCTGCCGAGTTCTTTGGAGCCCCCGCCCCGAAGTGCGCCACCAGGGCTTTCCACCTGGCGGTCCTCCGGACTCCGTGTCCCCGGCCCGGGCCGCGCAGGGCGGAGCCGGCCTGCTCGGAGCTCGCCCCGCCCCGCCTCGCCGTCAACTGACCGTGTGGCGGCAGGGCGGGGGCCG